AGTAACTCTTGCAGAGCACCCCACCTTACATTGAGATGTTGCATATATAAATATATCTTTACCGGTCACTTTAAGTGCACTTTCTAACAATTAGTTGTAATTTGGCAAATTAGTGGCGTTTCCTGTCAAATACTTATTACTTTCCCGTTTTGACAGGGTTACGTCATCAGCAGACTCGTGCAGCGTTCGTCTAATCAGAGTACTTATCAACTTCTTAACATTAGCAGGAGTAGCACATTTGATGTTTCTAAATGAGGCGGTAGGTTTCAGTTTCAGAACAATAGATGAAACCTCATTTTTATGGAAATTTGTATTTACTTGAATAGAATTTTAAATAGCGTCAGTAAAAAAAATGTATTAAACAGAAACGTTTCGTTAGAAACAAAGAAAAGAGGGTTTAAATGTTATACCAATCCTCCTATATGGCTGCGAATGTTAGACAATTTCCTCACATATGAGAATACTTCATGCGACAGAAACAAAGAAAAGAATGTTTGTTATGTCACGGTGGAGTAATGAATACCAGCTCGGATTGTGGAATCGGAGAGCCGAGTTCGAATTCCAGTGAAATCCATTACGTTCCCTTACGTGCCTAATACCCTTGGGAAAGGTATGAGTCCTTTTTTTCTATCCCTGCCAGCTATGGGTAAATAGCAAGAAAGACCGGATTCTATAGCCTTGGATGGGAACTGGTCTACTGCAAAAAGAAATGGCAACCTACTGCGGGAGAAAACTGCCTCGTCAGTCGAAAGACTTCTTAATCGCCTAATTGAGTATCACGCATGGCACATAAATGAATATTAATCCTTCTATATGGTAGTCAATACAGGACAATTTCCTCAAAGATGAAGAGACTTGAAGCAACAGAAACAAAGAAAATATGGTTTAACTGTGATCTCATATCAATCCTCTTGTATATCAGTGAAAAGTTGAGTAGACACAGCAGGGTGCGAAGATAACCATCGGTGAATTGTTAGCAAGTGTTAAAGAAAAATGGAAACAAAAAGGACTTCTTTTTTGCTTACAATTAGAAAAAGTGATTTTTTTATTGTTTGATTTTCTACAACGAATAGACGAACTCTCAAGTCAGACCAAAATGCTCGGTATCGCCTGGCAATTTCGTCATATGCTTAGCACGGCCAACTGCTACTTCTCAAAAAAAATATACCCGCTTTTATTGAACCCGAAACATTAGCGATTTGCATAGCTAACACCCTTCAGCTCACCATTCCGACTATTTTCTCGGGGAGCTGGTGGATATCTTATTTTTCATACAGTCATCTTGGTGTTCGCACCAGCTCTGTTTTAGCTAAGCAGGGATTTTCCTTCTTTTTATAGAGAAAGCACACATGACGTGATAGACGTTGGTGCCATTACCAGTGATAGTAGGCAACTCGTTCTGCCTTTCGTTTCCGCTACAAATAGCTCAAATTTCTGAAATGTATAACGACCTAAGAGTGTGTTGATAAATTGACGCTCACAGAACATATTGAAGGCAAGAGAAACAGTGAGCAACCTACACAAAGTGATTGTGTAAATGGTTGACAGAACAGTTGCTGATAATAATAACACAAACATTGATTTGTACTATAAGGATAGGAAGTTGTAGAGAGCCATTATCATTAAAGTCCTGAGGGGAAAATGGTATAGAAACAAAAGGAGAAAAAAAATTAAACTTGCCAGACAAAATATCTTAGACCATCGTTAAAAAATATATAAAATCTTCGAAAATATTTATTTGGGAAAATACAATTTTGGTTGGATAGAGATTTTTTGAAATTACTTGATCTCTCTGAATAAATTAAAGCTTCTCTGAAATATTATCAAGAAATTGGTTTCCTTTATTTTGATACTCGATACCCCCCCAAAAAAAAACAAATACCTAATTAAAGCACCTGCTGTAGGTTGACAGTTGGTAATCTATTTTGGCAAAATCGCTTTTACTTAGTTCAATTGGTACATAAAAGAAGAAAAAGAAAATTCTTCTAAACAAAGTATTTTATGTGCCATGACCCTCCAGGACGCTGGCCATCATAGCTCCGCACAGCTTCCTCTTTTTTGTAGCTCTAAGTATTTTTGTCTTTTTATCTTCCCTAATCTCTGTTCTGCCAACGATTTACAGAATTTCGTTAGGTAGCTTATTCTCTGTTTTCTTCATGTCCCTCAAGATGAGTTGTGTGCGTTAAATGCTCCAAGTCCTCTTTCCTCATTATTTGACCTAGAAAACATTCTAATGCTAAATAGATGTCATTTTGTTTCTATTTCCCCCAGTATTTCGTCGTTGCTTACATTTTTAGTCCATGGTATTCTCATCATCCTTCTGTAGAACCACCTTTTCGTTTCCTTAAATCTCTTCATCTGTGAGGAGATTGTTCAGCATACTGATATTACATAAGAGTCCGGTACCTTTTCATTGTTTCTAACAAAGTTGTCTTATTTCTTAATATTTGCCTAACATTTTGAAGGCATCATTTGCTATTCTGATACCATTCGAATATCCGTGTGCATTTTCCGTCATCTGTTAGAGCAGTTACTAGTTATTTAAATCCTTAGTTAGTAAAAGAAAAAACGTATAAAAATATTTATTTAGGAAAATCCAATTTTGCATGGTTAGACGGTTTTCGAAATCATTTCAGCTCTTTGAATAAATTAAAAACTGCCTAAAATCAGTATCAGAAAATCGGTTTCCTTCATTGCAATACCTTATGATCCAATAAAAAATTAAAGAAAAGTAATTTTTCCTCTGAAGAGTAATGACAAAGATTGTGAAGGGATGATTATATTTCCTTGTGATTTCGTAATTTATCAATTCTGCACTGATTTTTCAATTATTTTTCATCATTAGATGCTAAACATAAGCTTGACTGCATACATTCAGGAAGATATTTGCAAAGATCTTTATCCGAAATAAACCGCTACGATGTTTTCAAGGAAAAAAGAATAAAATCGAAATAAGTCAGTTGGATGAAATAGCTTTTGGGTCCTCATCGGTTGCAGGGAGAAATGTCGATTTGACACCATATCTCCTAGAAACATTAATTTGCCTCAATCCCGAAAATCTGCTTATTTTCGTCATACGCATTGAGTTATAAATGACACATTTGAAAATATATATCGGAGCTTCATGCGGTTACACAATCTTCAAGTGCTGAATACTCACCGGCTGTTAAGCGTTGCGACATTCACGTTCTCGTGGAGTTGATTTAAAATTGTCTTAAAACTCGTTCCTTATTTCTTTGTGGTCTATAATATTTACATTACTTATGAATAATTTATATCGCTGAAAGTCTTAAGTCCGAAAGACGGGGAATTAAAAAATATTTTTAAAAATTTGAATTTACGTAAACGCGTTATTAATCAAGGGGATTACTCGACTTGGTTGCATGAAAAGCCGTCTTTCGTATTAATACAAATAATAGGTGCTTAATAAAGTATATATATATATATATATATATATATATATATATAAATATATATATATATATATATATATATGCGACATGGGTATCTCCATTTCAACAGAGCATTTTCAGGATGAACGATTGACAATTATTGGATGGTACATCGTATTAAAAAAAATTACGTTCAAGTTTTTCTCTTAAGCCAATTCTAAAAAAAATTCCTCTTGTGCATTTCTAACAAATCTATAAATTCCTAAAATTCTTCTTCATAACCAGTTGCCATCTTTTATACAAGAGTTGTTTGTATACGCATGCTGTTTAATAAACAAGAAAAGCTGATTTTTCATTATCCTATATATATATATATATATATATATATATATATATATATATATTATAATCCAAAAGGTTGGCGTTACCAAGAGACTTCGTGCCAAATACCTCAAAAAGAGAGGTGATACTAATAACAAAAAAAGCATTTGCCAAGAAAAACCTAACACAAAAAAAACAAAATCAACATAATAAAGGAGACCAACAGGCAAAACACATACCTAAGCAGTAATTAACAGGACTCAACGCACAGACAGAGCAAAAAACGTTTCACAGCATCAGTCCTCAAAGTTCGAGGCGCTACTTAAGTTTCACGCTCTAGCGATCTTCAGACGACCAGAACACATTCTGGTCGGCTGATATATATGCTCTGTGTGTGTGTGTACACTAATTAAAACTGTACAGAAACTGTCAGTTTCATGAATCAGTTGTTCTTCAAACCAATAATTTGAAGATCTCACTGAAGAGTGAAACTGAAATTTGCAATGCAGTTTTAACCCTTGTATATTATCTATATGCATTTCATTTTATTTATCTATGCCTTGATCACTATTCTGCAATATATATATCAAATCTCCAACACACACACTCATATATATATATATAAACCTATAAGTGAATTAAAAAAAATCAATTACATTTATTGACTATCACTTATTAGGAATTACATCACATAAAATCTCCTATAGTTTAGCTTGCCTTTTCAGTTAGCCTTAAGCATATTTTTTGAGCATTCTTAAATATATAAATGCTGATATTTTTACAAAAAATCCGTACATTTATCTTCATAAAGTCTATCAGAGGACGAAACCTCATATAAAACTAGTTTCTTTTTGTTTTTATCCATAGTCTTAATATTTTTTTATATTTTTACGCACACCGACACACGTCTAAATATACGGCAATCAACATTATCTGCAACAATCAAACGGTTCGAATGGATTTTCAGGCCTCCTATTCTGCTGGCCAATGATAGTATGACTGAACTAAATCCTCTTGCGATAGTTAAAACTTTGATTAGCTTAAAGCTAATGGCCGCGAGAAACAGTTGAGGAGTGACGGCCGTTAGTGTGAATAAACCTCTGACTTGTTTTGAAATAACTGATGCCACAATGACAGTCTGATTTCGGCTGACCATTTGCCAAAATGAAGGAAACAGATTGGGTAAGGCCAACGGCATTAGCACTATCAAAATATCTGCCAATCCTTCATCAAGCGCTGTCTACAGAAATGCTTCTTCAACCAACTAAAAGTTAACACATTGAACACCATTGGCAAAATCATCGCGGCTTGCAACTGTGAATTCACTAAATCAGTTGTTCTCTGAAATCGGGCATAAGGATACGGCAATTTGCTAATACTCAATAAGAAAGCGGTTGGAGACGGATAGAAAGGCAGATATGTAGGCAGCCGGATAGGGGAGGAGAGAGAAAGATATGTAGGCAGCCGGATAGGGGAGGAGAGAGAAAGATATGTAGGCAGCCGGATAGGGGAGGAGAAAGATATGTAGGCAGCCGGATGGAGAGAGAGAGAGAAAGATATGTAGGCAGCCGGATAGGAGAGGAGAGAGAAAGATATGTAGGCAGCCGGATAGGAGAGGAGAGAGAAAGATATGTAGGCAGCCGGATAGGAGAGGAGAGAGAAAGATATGTAGGCAGCCGGATAGGAGAGGAGAGAGAAAGATATGTAGGCAGCCGGATAGGAGAGACAGCCGGATAGGAGAGAGAGAGAAAGATAAGTAGGCAGCCGGATAGGAGGAGAGAGAAAGATATGTAGGCAGCCGGATAGAGGAGAGAAAAGATATGTAGGCAGCCGGATAGGAGAGAGAGAGAGAAGGCAGCCGGATAGGGAGAGGAGAGAGAAAGATATGTAGGCAGCCGGATAGGGAGGCAGCCGGATAGGGAGGATAGGAGAGAGAGAGAAGATAAGTAGACAGCCGGATAGGAGAGAGAGAGAGATAGACAGATAGAGAGAGAGAGAAATAGACAGCCGGATAGGAGAGAGAGATAAGAGACAGCCGGATAGGGAGAGAGAGAGAGAGAGAGATAAGTAGACAGCCGGATAGGAGAGAGAGAGAGAGAGAGAGATAAGTAGACAGCCGGATAGGAGAGAGAGAGAGAGAGAGAGATAAGTAGACAGCCGGATAGGAGAGAGAGAGAGAGAGATAAGTAGACAGCCGGATAGGAGAGAGAGAGAGAGAGAGATAAGTAGACAGCCGGATAGGAGAGAGAGAGAGATAAGTAGACAGCTGGATAGGGAGAGAGAGAGAGAGAGATAAGTGACAGGGATAGGGAGAGAGAGAGAGATAAGTAGACAGCCGGATAGGGAGAGAGAGAGAGAGAAGTAGACAGCCGGATAGGAGAGAGAGAGATAAGTAGACAGACGGATAGGAGAGAGAGAGAGAGAGATAAGTAGACAGCCGATAGAGAGAGAGAGAGAGAGAGAGATAGGAGAGAGAGAGAGAGAGATAGACAGCCGGATAAGTAGACAGCCGGATAGGGAGAGAGAGAGAGAGAGAGAGAAGCAGACAGCCGGATAGGGAGAGAGAGAGAGAGAGAGAGATAAGTAGACAGCCGGATAGGAGAGAGAGAGAGAGAGATAAGTAGACAGCCGGATAGAGAGAGAGAGAGAGAGATAAGTAGACAGCCGGAGAGAGAGAGAGAGATAAGTAGACAGCCGGATAGGAGAGAGAGAGAGAGATAAGTAGACAGCCGGATAGGAGAGAGAGAGAGAGAGAGATAAGTAGACAGCCGGATAGGAGAGAGAGAGAGAGAGAGAGACAGCCGGATAGGAGAGAGAGAGAGAGAGAGAGAGAGACAGCCGGATAGAGAGAGAGAGAGAGAGAGATAAGAGACAGCCGGATAGAGAGAGAGAGAGAGAGAGATAAGAGACAGCTGATAGGAGAGAGAGAGAGAGAGAGAGAGATAAGTAGACAGCCGGATAGGAGAGAGAGAGAGAGAGATAAGAGACAGCCGGATAGGAGAGAGAGAGAGAGAGAGAGAGAGATAAGTAGACAGCCGGATAGGAGAGAGAGAGAGAGAGAGAGAGAGAGAGATGGGTGACAGATGGAGAGAGAGAGAGAGAGAGAGAGAGATAAGTAGACAGCCGGATAGGAGAGAGAGAGAGAGAGAGAGACAGCCGGATAGGGAGAGAGAGAGAGAGAGAGAGAGAGATAAGTAGACAGCCGGATAGGAGAGAGAGAGAGAGAGAGATAAGTAGACAGCCGGATAGGAGAGAGAGAGAGAGAGATAAGTAGACAGCCGGATAGGAGAGAGAGAGAGAGAGAGATAAGTAGACAGCCGGATAGGAGAGAGAGTAATTTTTTTCTACTTTGATATTGACCGTAGCAGAAATTGCTTAACCTGGTATGTAGGCGTAAATCTCTGTTTTTAAAATCAAAACCATGATTTTTTGGTAACAGATGTTATAGAATCAAGCGCATTTAAGTTTTCATTTTTGATTACCAAGCATTTTTGTGGAATATATAATTTATTTTTAAACGCAGTTCATAGGCTGGATGTCAAGTGCCGCCTATAAATAGAATCGATAATTATATGCAAATTACGTTATGATTTAGAATTTAGATGATTATTTGCAAGTTATTACATATTCTCGAATTAATGTTATTTGCTTTCATGAAAGAGATAGGTAGACGAATGATCCCTAACTCTGCTGCCTCTTACTAACCTAAAATATATCCACTAAGGCACAGATATTCCTTGAAAAAAAACATCATCTGGGATAATTTATTAATTTGTACCCAGACTTATTTTTTGTTGTGTGAAAAGTACGAGTAATTAACTGTAGAGGAAAATATCTTTAAATCGTAAACAATTACTGACAAATTTCAGTCATTTAACAAATTCTTCACGTTTTAGATTTTGTCAGATTTCATTGTTTTATATTCTGTCTTTACGTTCCAATTATCAAAGTTTCATGTTCCTTACTTGATAAATCGACCTTTTCAAGAAAACAACGTGTATTACTTAACGGCAACGAAATTAACATTTTTTTTAAATTTTAAATTACAGATTATATTAAAAAAGCTAAACCATTTAAACTTGCATGTTTTAACGACTATCACAAGTCCGTTCTTGGTTCTTAGTCGTTGCATACATCTCTCTTTTTATTATTCTTTTTGTAGAGTGAGTGGCCATAGTTAAATGCAAATAAATTGCCGAACTGCCCAATGAACAGAATTGACAAAGTTTGCAATAAACAGAACAGGGCAGCAAATAATATAAAGCAAGCAAACAATATATGCAAGGCAAATTAACAGTAATAAGAAAAACGTTCATAAACTAAGAACTGGGGGTAACATCTAAGAGCAAGTTCGGACAAGCGAACATAGCATTCTGACTTCAAGACAAAACAGACCAGGACAGCGTCAGATGATTCCAATGAGTTCTCTATGTTACTGACAAGGGAAAAGATTCAACAAGCATTTGGTGGTTTTGCCTATAAATTGGTGAGTGGAAAGTGTTTTGCAATCATTCCTAGCCGATTTGAAGCCAACACTTATCGCTTCCAATAAATATTCTCCGTTTATGTTTAACTAAAATATTATGCAAATTTGGCTTTTTACACATTAAAAGATCAGAAATAAAGGAACAAGGATTACTCAAATCTCGATGACTGTATATTATAATTCTTTTGGTCTCTCTTTTCATAAAGGATGTTCCGGTATTGTTGTTCTGAAAATTTCTATATTTACCTATCTGCAAGTCTATGGTTCCTCTTAATATCGACTTACTGAATTTGTTTCTCTTTCTTTCATCTCCATCCCTTCATATTCTACCTTCACATTTGTCTCTATCTCTGTCTCTTTTTCTCTCCCCACGGATACACACGTGTGTATGCTTGTGTGTGTTTAATCATTTTTTTCCAAGCAAGGTAATAATGTCACGAAGACGCAGCGGGCTACTGGGAGTGAAAGAGAATAAGACTTTAGAAGGAATCAGAAACTCAATCCTAAACAGGAAACACGGAATAAACCTCTACGCTTGTTCAAAAGATCGGGGAGGGGTTATGAACCCGGCGAGATGTGAACTTATATACGCTTATTAAATTGATAAATTTAGAAGAGGAGTCAGTGAATAACATTGATACAGCGTCAAATCATCAATCCCCAGAGTTATCTGTACATAGTTTTTAGTTACATTGAAAATGTGCATATACAGTGTCACCCGGATATAAGAGAATTGTCGGGACCGGAGAAGAAGTCTCTTATATCCGGGTTTGGTCTATTTTATATACATTAACACAGGCTCTAATTTGGGACCAGAGAAAATCTCTCTTATATCCGGGTCACACTGTATTATTTATATCTAATATTTATTTTAATTTTAAAAAAGTTTCTTTTAGGGAAACAACTAACGAATATTTTACATTTTTTATATTAAGAAAATATATTAAACCAGCAATTTTTCCGTCCTGGGTATGACGATAAACCAAATTAGCGTCATTGGTATGACAATAAACCATGCCCAACAGCAAGGCCTCTGATCAGGAGGTGCGGAGGATCGTGGAAAAAACCTCTTAATTGCTGGTGTATCCAGGTCCACCCTGACTGCGGGTGGTAGCGCCTGTTAGGGTCTCAGCTATTGGCAAATATTTAACCCCCAAGCTGGAGTCAAAACCCTATGAAAGTGTAAGAATAGATTTTAATACCAGAAATACTTTTTGTAAAAAAAAAATTATTGCCTGCAATACATTTTTGAAAAAAAAAATATTACCATAAATAGATTTGTGTAGGAAAAAAAATATTACCAGTAACAAAAAATTTGGCGGCATTAATTAACCCATTGAGATTGATATGTCATAAGATAAAACAAACCAAACTAAACTATCGCTATGAATCTATTTCAAAATTTTGTTGGCATTAAATGACCCACTGAGGTTTTGATATGCCATAAGACAAACCAAAACCGAACCAGCAAATCTTTTGGCGAAATCTATTATTTTCCTTGATTTAAAAAAAAATATATATATTTAAAAACAAGCAAATGTATAGATTGGTAACACGTAACATACTTTTAATAAAATAATAAAAAATTTACATAAATTAGCAAATGTATAAAACTCTCAATCACATAAGCACATTTTTTCAAGAGACGACCTTTTGTAAATAAAAACTGAGTATAGGCATCCCTGCAAAATAGAGGCTGTCCCCAATAAAATTGACATAATTTAAAATGGGAATATCTGAGTAACTGCATGTCCCAGGCAAACGAAATTACATAGGATTCATATAGAACAATAAAATATTTATGAAAAATTAGAACAAGATATTTAAAGAAATTTGGATTTTATAAGCAGGTCGTACCAAACACGCTGTAGCATGTCTCTCGTAACATTCTCAGTGATTCTCTAAGTTCCACTAGACTTGTAGGAAGAGAAGGTATAGAGAGCTGCCCCTCCACATAGACCATAGAAAAAAATCACAAGTTGTCAAGTCAGGTGAACATGATGGTCATTTCAACAGCCAATTGTCATTACCACTGGCACGGCCAATCCATTTTCCTGGTAGATTGTCATTGAAATCATGAACCTTATTTAATTGCGTGGAAACTTTTTAAATTATGTCAATTTTTTTGAGAAACCCTATATACCAATATTAGGAAGAAAACCTTCCCTTCTACATCGATTTAAAAAAAAAAAATCAATATTTTTAATTCTGACAAATCTCATGATGGAAGAAGAATGCCAATCTGCAAACACCGTTCCCTGGAAAACCATTCCGTTTTTTTTTATGGTGGCACCAATCCACTTCAAGAGTGTTTAAAAATATCGCTACCCTAAAATCGCAATCAACGGATAGAACGGGATTTTTATTTCGGATGTTGTTTCATATGCTGCTTCATGTTTTCGAAAATTTTAACTCGAAATTATCACAGGGGGATAGGGTTTTTCTCCATTACGAATATGCATGTCTTTTCTCAGGGTCGAATTGTCTTTGAACTTGGATCCACAAATATCACACCCCATACGTTTTCCTTCTATATGCACCCGAAATTTTATTCCACATACGCTGGAATGGCAAAACTTCGCTATGTTTATGCAAGTGCATTCGAAATTGCATAATTTGGGCAAAATTTGAATTATAAATGTTACAGTAGAATTGATTTAATCCAGTGTGCTTTCGCATGGTATTGTCCAAAAGATTAGAACTATAAATGTCACAGGTGAACAGTTTCTTGCCAGTGTGCGTCTGTATGTGTTTTTTTTAAGGCTGGATTATCCGAAAATTTCAATACACAAATATCACGACTCCAGGGTTTCTCGATAGCATGCCTTGTGCGTGCATTAAAGTTTTAAATTTGGGAAAATCTCCTCTCACAGATTTGATAATGAAACTGTTGCTTTCTGCTGTTTTTGTAACTATGTATTTTCCAAGGTATATTCATTTTGAAATGGGACGCACAAATCTCCCGGTGATATATGTGAGAAATCGGAGAACAGAGTTTGAATTCAAGTCGGTTTCGTTAGATTCAAAGATGAGCAGGACAGACAGTTCCCTGTAGGCCCAAGTAGTCTACAGCAGAAAGAAGTGGCAACTTATTACGAGAATATCGTCTTCCTCGTCAGAAATGAATCCAAAGGTATGTGATCGCTCAATCGTTTCTCACGAATGGAATTAACCGACTGAATTGAGTATTGCCTTGTGAATACCGACGTAGAGGAATATTAAACCAGGCTTAGCTTAAAATTGGGGTCGCTGTTTGCTCTAACAACTCGGTCGGCTAACATAAGATGTGCGTGTATATATATATATATATATATATAACAAAAATATGTAAAAAAAAAAAAAAAATCATTACACAATTAGTCATGTGTCAGCACCACAAATGTGTCTATTCGGGTGATGTCAAACCACTGGCGAGCAAAAGATTAATTTCGAAAGCAGAATAAAAAAGGCTGTGTGTTTTGCCGTGATTAACCAATTAGCGTTGACGCATGATATTATTTTAAATAATTAACTCTACTCTGTATTGGGCCCTCTTTTAAATTAAACGTTACGTACAGTGGAATCATAATCCATTTGTTCTCATTTTACGTGTTTATATATATATATATATATATATATATATATATATATATTTAATTAAATAATTAAATATATATATATTTTAATTAATTAATTCATATTTGTTATATGTATGTCTGAATAGTCTTCAGTATTGGAGATAGAGTATATAGTTTTACATAGAAATAAATACTGAATGGTCACTGTTCGATGATTTGAAGAATACTTAAACCGGAAAACCGACGGTCACCCTGAAATGTTGATATCTTTTATGTTTATACTGTCACTTTCATTCATTCTCATTATATTTGACTTTAGTTGATGGTTCTCTTTTTTTTTTCTCTCCTACTTACTCATTTTCTTTCCTTCACTTCGCTTCAATATTACTCGGTAAGATTTCCAATCTGAAAATCCCCATTTCGACTCAGAAGTGCTACAGCTGATACTACCACCTGATAACTACAACTGTAAAATGATCTTCCGTATAGCAAAATAGAAAAACTGGGTAGATTATTTTTGTTAGAAACGCAACAAAAGAGATCTACTAAGTGATATAAATTGAATTAATTTAAAACCTTTTGCAAATAGATTTTAGAAGTATAAAATGTAAAAGATTGTAAGTTTAGCAAACTGAATCCAAGGAAAACAAATTTTATCAGATTGCCTCTAAAAATAGCAAGAGTCGCAAAGTTATCACTCCAACAAAG